GCTGAAAGCAGACCATGACATCCAGGTAGCAAACTCTTGTTTTTGCTGCTCCTGACATATTTACCATGAAAGTGTCATGTATTTCACTTTAAAAAATCATGTAATTCTGTATTGCGAGAGTCTAAAATCTCTGTGAGAAAAGGGGAAGCAATAAATGGCATATTTGGTGGGAAAATATTTTTTAATGTCAGCGACTTTTCTCTGAAATTTCCTCTGTCTTTCTGAACTTCCATCATTCACTTTGTAGCCTGGGTTCTTGTAATATAGTTAGAATACTTTTTGAACTGGAAAAGAAATCCCTCCCCCTTAATTGCATTGCAATTCAAAAAGCTAGATTGATTAAAAATGTTGGAAAACCCACAGCAACCTTGTCTCCAGACAGAGATGAAATACAGAACAAACTAATAGTTTAGTAGAATGTGAGAATTTCCCATTTAAATGTCTTTCACCAGTGAAATTTCCATGTATTTATTTAGGCATTAAAAAAATAAATCAATGTGGGAAATGTCTTTTCAACTAATTCCTGGATCCCTTTTATCCAAAGAAACAAAGCAATTTTTTTCTGAGGATTTGTTTTCAACTCAAACTTCAAATACTTTGTAGGAACATGTCAAAAAAGACAACCTTTTTCATTTTTGTTGAAATGTTCTTCAGAAAATCAAAGTACCACCTTAATGTTTTTAAGTTTAGTCACAGAACTGAGTTATGGATACTTCTTAATCATTTAATAGGACATATAATAAATGTTTTTTAGCCATTTTAGCAGAAAGGTTAGGAAACTACTCATTCATTACTTCTGCAGCTTCTTATCATTAGCACAATTTTAAGAGATCTCAGGGTAGCCCTGGCAGTAGCCTTTTAGAGGAGTGTACTAAAGCCCAACTCATAACTATCCAAACAGAATAAAAATCAAATATATGATCTCAGGGATTTCTAGACAAGGAGGAGAAACTCCTAAATTAAAAGTACTTCAGTGGAAGTTGTCCCTGTAAATAAGCTGTTTAGCCCTGTGTATAAGAGGAAATGTTGATCTAAAGAAGGCATCAGGACGGAGAATTCCAAACCAGTCTCCATGCAGGCTGAGCTAGGGTATGGTGGTGAAACAGCAGTCTTGTAGGTTATGTGGCGGAGTGCAAATGTTCATGAAACAGAAGGTATTTCATGTAGAAAAATAAGGTTCTTTATTGCTTTTCCACAGTGCCTGCCTTTCTTCCTATATGTGGCACTGATAGAACTGTTACAAGAAATGGAATATACTTTGATGCTGTGTATTTCAATAAGTAATACACTGTGGCAGGTGTCAAAGTATTTCTGTTGTAACTAGAGCTTTTTCTTTCTTGCTCTGTAACTACGGGCAGGTCATCTCACTTGGGTGTGCCTCTGTTCCTTCCTGACCTATTGCCTTCTTGGTCTCTGTCTGAAAAAAACCCAACAACCTGCTTAAGCTATCATCTATTTAATACTCTGGAGAATTGGGGAATCTTAGGTGACAGTGAAATACTTTAATCTGTCTGTTACACTGACAGGCTGACTTATCTCTGATGCTGTTATGATTACCTGTATAATTTCCTCTCAAAGTCATCATTCATCATCATCAGCTTTGCAGTATTTATCCAAGCCACCTCGATGTATACCTATCTCATGACCATCCCTATCAACCCCCAATCTTTCTTCCAAGCCTAGCTGTGAGATCTGACTTTTGTTATTGCTAATCCCAAATTGATTCAGCAGCATTTTTTAAAGACAAAACACAACAGCTTTCTTTCCTCTTGGTATTTTATTACTTGTTAATATATGACAAAACAGATTTGTTGTGGAGCAGAGAGGAAGCATTTAGCATTGCTAAACAGAAAAACACTTCTTAGTTTTGCCCTTTTATGCCCTGGTGAATAAAAAGCTCCTTTCTGATGTGGAGTAACACCACAGTGAAGATAAGTTTAGAACCTGCTAGGAACTTGTCTGGGCTAAGGGCAAAAGAAAAGATGGGCTGACAGAACTACGGTTGCACTTCTCAGCTCCTTACCATCCACTTGCAAATAGAAAGGGCTGAGAAAAAAGGAAGGCCTTAGCAGTAAGGATTTACAGCTCTTCTGTTTCACCACTCCTTGGCACATTGACCTCAGTATGGTACTCAGAGGAATCTCCTGAAGCCATCCAAGGTATTGGGGTTCTGTTGAAGGAGGGTCTGTTGCTGAAATTTTGATTATATATAATGAGAGATTCTGGAAGCAAAGGACAAATATCAAACTGAGGCACTTTGAAGGTCATCCGTTTGGCTGCTTTCTCATAACCCCCATAAGGCATGGCAGTCCTGGCATAGGAGAACACGTGGAGTTAGCGAACAGCGCATTGGTAAACAATGGGATTTAGAAAATAAATAATCAAAGTTATCAAGATTGTAAATTTTACCACTGTTGCAGTTGACTGGACAACAAATCCTTCACAAGATGATATATGTATCCATTGCCTATATACTAAAAAAGGTTTAAAAACACTCCCCCTCCCCCCCACTCCTGTGCACTGCCTTCACCTCTGTTGCCTCAATCTCCATCAAACAATACACCTTTCACACCTATTGGTACACTGCGCACGTAGGAGGCAGAGACTACATTATTGCAGAAAAGAGTATGATTTGGGCTTATCCTGGTGTATTGGGTCTGGCTGAGATGGAGTTAGCGTCCCCACAACACCCTCCCAGCACTGAGTGCTGCCCTGGCAGCCAGCAGGGGGTTCATAACACACCTTGGGAGGGGGTGGAGCCAGGACAGCTGACCCGGATTGGCTGTTCCATACCATGTGACCTCAGCTCAGCCATAAAAGCCATGGGCAGGAGAAGGAGGGGGACATTCATTACTGTGTTTGTCTCCAGGAGCAGCTGCTGCACACACTGAAGCTTTGCTTTCCTGGGAATTGGCCAGACATGGCTTACTGAGGGGAAGTAGAGAATAACATCTTTGTTTACCTTTTGTTTCTCTGCATGGCCTTGGCCTTTGCTTTAATTAAACTGCTTTTATCTTGACCCATGAGTTTTTCATCTTATTGTCCCCCTTTGTTTTCGCTGAAGGGGGAGTGATAGAGGGGCCTGGTGGGTGCCTGGCATCCAGCCAAGGTTAACCCACCACACCTGGGTACTGATGTCCTGGGGATATCAAAGTGGGTGTCAAAATTATATAGAGAGGTTAACAGAAAATTGTTGCTGCCCTAGAAATATATGTAAAAATTTCAGTTCTTATCAGAAGCAACAGGAAGATCCTGATTCTTATCTGAAGTACTGTGAAGTATATGGCTTCTGGTCATAAGTATTTTTCCTGAACTTTTGCACTTTAAATGGCTGAAGTAATAAACAGTGGTAAGATAAATCTCCCTGGTCAAATGTGGGGAGAAAGAAAGGGAAATAGGATTAAAATCCTCTCATCCTGCTGCATAGGTTTTCTGTCCATAGCTGAATTAAAATCCCTGTCTCTTAATGTTCTTTTTGTAGGCCTCCAGACACTTCATCCACGGAAGACTGTGCTAAGCAATATGACATGCAACTTAAACTTCTATACATTGCACAAGACAGGAGAGATATGGCCAGGATTATTGTGTTTTCTCATGCTAAATAAACTGAATTGAATATCCAAGAAGACTTACCGGTTAAAAGACTTGTAATGGGGGAAATCAGCTTTGGGGCTATATGACAGTAAGTCAATGGTGAACTGACTTTTGTCCTCAGGGCTGATGCCCATTGCTCGTTCCCAGGGGGAGATATAAGTTTTAAATACAGTGGTTTTTTTGTGTCCTGACTTTCCATCTGTAAACAGAGGAAAGTGAAACACTCTAGTTAGATGACACTTACTCTAAATACATTGCCTTTCTGCATTCTGCTATTGAAGTTGAGACACCAGCTTTGTTTCCAGACTCTGTAACTCTTAGATCAAGTCCAAGATTTTATGGTTAGATTTCTCTTAAAAACGACTCTCGTGTGCTACTTCCATCCATATTCAGATAAGCAGGTGTACCACAGTATAAGAGCCACTCATCGAGGAATTTGCATTAGAGCATATATTTGAAAGCTAACTTTTCATTGTTCTCTCTGGTTGCTCAAATAGAAACCTCTTAGCCCAAGAACCAATGTCCTTACCCCATCAACTCTTCCTACATTGGGGTAAGCTTTATACAAGGCAAAATGCTATCTAATTTCATAATTTACTTCCCTGTTCCCTGTCTGATCATGGCAGACATAACCCCTCCACATGAACATCATCATCATCAGTTGCAACAAACAAAGCCCTGACTGTAAACTCCAAAAGTAGGCTCAAACTTTGAAGTTGGCTCTAACTGACCAAAAACCTTTAACCATTGTATTTCAGGGTCTTGGCAACCCACAACCATTTTTACTAACATCTTTCTCAGTAGTCTATTCTTGAATGTTCTAAAATTACCATCTCCCTTGTCTCAGTATTTTTATAAGTTGGCATTTTCTTTGTGATTACATGAACATGTAATATTTTCCCTCTCCTGAGCCAGGATGTTAGAGACAAGCCTGGCTCGAACACTTCAGGATGGCTAAAAGCAGTTTGAAAATATGATGGGGTATCTCTCTGGAAGTTAAAATCCTGCCAATGACAGAGTTGCACTTTGTTGTTAAGTCAGATACTTGATTGCCAGAAATTTTAAGTTAGCTTCTGGCTGCTCCATTAAGCAAATAAGCTTAGACGAGGGTTTTCATTCTGTGTGCTTTTTTTTTTTTTTTTTTCCCCCCCCCCCAGTTTGTGTATAATACCACCTTCCTAACAAGAATGTTGGTTGTATATTGGTATGTAGTCCACTTTTAAGATTCTTATCCTTCAGAAACCTTAAAACTCCTGAGCTATGACTTCTGCTTAGCTTGGTTAGGGCAGATGGGAATAATAGGTTAATGGAGTTAGACATTCTGATACTTTCATGGTGCTGTAGTTTGTGTAGAAAACATAAATCCTTATGAAAAGTGGCACAGAATGAACACTATTACTCTTATCTGAATCTTTCTTCTTTATCACACCTTCTTTCTTTGTCTTGCTTATTTTCTTCAAACCTCACCAAATCCTGGGCTTTGCTGGTTTTGGAGAATTGCAGACATGTACCAGAATCTCACTTTCGTTAAAAAAAATAAAAACAACCACTCCCCACTTTCTGTGTGAAGGACTTTAAGTTGTTTAGAAGTAAAATTATTAGTAGTGTTGAAAAATAAAAACAGTTGGGATCCATCTCTGCAGTAAAAGCTATGGGATGATGTTAATCCTCCTTCTCCCTGCACACATAAATAGGATAACAATGGGAAAAAATCTCCTATAAGAAGACAGACTCTACACAGATTTGTTTTTCACAAGGATGCCCAGAAATGTAAAAGGTGATTTTGACATAAAATCCACATTCTTCCGGAAAGTAAATGAAAAAACTTGGGTTTTACAGGTCACTCATTTGCTCACTTAGATCAGCGGTTCCTGGTTCCCAGGCAAATTTGCTTTTTGTTTTAAAATCCCATACGGACTGTTAAAATAATTATTTCACCTGCTGAATTGAATACAAGGTTTTTGTTTCTAGAGGTTTTACCCTCCAAACAGAGGGTAAAATTAAGCAAGAACTAAATTCAATTAAAAATACTTTTACTCATAAAGATACTGCTTCAGCAGAGCAGTAGTGATTACCAGATAACTTTTTGAAATGTTGCTGTTCCTGTCTAAAGATTATCCAAAAAATGCTGTTTGTTTAGGTGAAAACTTTGATTTGAAATCAGAGCTGATATACTCAAGACTGATGTGTCAGGTCATATTGCTGAGCTAAAGGGCTAATACTGCTATCTCCAGTAGTGGTTGTTGTGAAACCCTTGTAAGGAAGGGTATGCCATACTGGCATACAGCTGTATCAATCTTAGGAGCTTGGTAGTTACATTTCCCATAATTTCTTTGGTCCAGCCAAGGCAGGTATTTCTGCTTCTTGCCTGTGATTGAGCAACACAGAAGCATGAAAACAAAACTATGAAGCTAAAGGCAGTCCAACTTTTCTAGACTTTGCAATGGATCTTAGTTTGGAAGAATTCAGGGTTTAGTTAAATCAATTTACTTGTCCTTAAGAGTAAGGCTGGCCCAAGCTCTGGTAGCTTTAGCTAGTTCTTGTACTTGCAGAGGGATACTTGCCTTTCTCAGTACCATCACCTCCTTCTCCACCGCTTCCAGCTGATTCCCCAGCATGTTCCCCTTCATTGCCCCCAGGGCCTCCTTTGCTTCCAGGCCTAGGAGGAACAGCAGGATGCTGCTGCTTACCGGAGCCATGCTGCCCAGCTGTCACTCCTCCTACCATCCGCCCGTGGGCATAGCCGTGAGCATCTTCCCCATAGTGCCCTCCTGGTGGGATGAACTTCTGAAAGTGATCCTAGGGCAGGAGAAAAGAGAGTAGGAATCCCTGTTACAGGACATGGTCTGTTCACGTTTGCAGGGCTGGGTCCTAGAATGTGAACTCCCAAGTCCCCATGATATGACCAGTTCTGTGTCTCAGATACAAAACCAGTGGCAGAACTTGGTGTGAATTATTCTCTATATTCGGTATAGGAACAGTTGTAGAACAGCACCAAGGGCAATGGAAGCACACCTTTCAATGGATACCTCATAGTCATTTCATATGATCAGGATGAGAAGAGAGAGATCTGTGTATTGTTCCCAACAGTAAACAGTATGAAATACAGGAGGAAGGGAAAGGAAATAAAGCTTTTGGCAGAGCAGGTAAAGGTCCAAACAGAGATGCATTGGCTAACCTGTGGGAAAGCAAGTTGGACAAGAAATAGGAAGTGTTTTCATGTCAAAGTTAAGATAAAAGTCCACTCGATTACAGTGTGGGAGCTAAGTCTTACAGGGCACCAGAACAACAGGGTAGCTGTGACAACGTAAAAGCCTGGAAGATGACTGCCCATATGTCTGGTTTCCATATATGTGAAGGTCTGCATGGAAAGGTGTATTTACATATTGAGAAAGACTGAAGAGATAGCAGCCTGGGAAAACATGAAACACTTCCTGGAGACCACAAGAGCAAAATGACAAAAAGGAAGAGTTTTGTTTGTAGCAATATCTGCATTAACAAACCAAATCTAACTAGCAACAGGGCAAGAGAGAAAGCTGTATCCATTAGTAAAATCAAGTTGGTCTTACTTTCCAGGCCATCCACTCTCCCCAGTCCAGGCTAGAAGACACAGTCCCTGAAGTGCACAGTGAAAGAGCAAACAGTCTGTGCAGGATTTATAGACCCTGTGGTGCTAGCACGAAGTCCTGTCCTTGCACACAGCACTTTTACTAAATACTTGTGTGGAACAGAAACTGATATAATATGTTAGTGAAAATGTTTTATGTATTGGTCATAAGTAAGATCAAAGATTGACTCCTATAAGGTATAAAAAGTATCTCTTGTGTATTACAGCCCACACAGCTGTATAATCTAAGTAACCTGGGTTATATATCACATATGGTCCTTCCTGTTGGACTAGGGGATTGCAAAGTCCCCTAGATGCACAAAGATGTAACAAATACAGGCGAAGATTAATGAATCCGTGGTTCCTCATGCTGCAGTTCTGCTTATAAATTCATCTCAGGCAGCCAATGGGAGACAAGAGTGCCAGCCTCAGGGCTGGCTCTCAATGGGTTAAGGCTTTCTCGGTGCTCTTACACCTCCTACAGTTTATCAAAAAGAAGCTTTCCAGGCTGTAAACAGGCTTCCAAGGCCAGCTGTTTGGTCAGCTAAAAATAGATGAGAAGTGAAAACCCCACAAGGCTCAAGGCAGAATTATCTAAGCCTCTGCTCCCTGTGTCTCCAGCAACAGTGTCCAGGGTTTCACAGCAGGTCACTAGGCTGCAACCCCGGCAGGGAGCCAGAGGCAGGCTGAAGTGGCAGAGCTGGTGCCCCAGGGCCTTTAGGGACTGTCTGTCCTCCTAGCTGTAGGGAATTCCCTTTTTAGGAACAGAGGAGATAATGTTCCCCGAATGTCAGGAAGCACTAAGAAGAGAGAGGATTGTGAGCATTAAGCTGTACACAGTAGCTAGCAGGGCAATCTGTTCAATTATGCATGGGAGTATGTAGCTGTAAAAAGGCAAACAAGAAAAGGGTTTTTTTGAGGGCTAGGGGTCAGAATGAGGTTATTCTCAAAACGTTGATATACATGCAAGGTTAATGATTCTACTTATTTGCTCAGTAATTTTGAAACAGGATTTGCATCTGTTTTCCTTCAAGTTTCACCCATGCAGTGTGCCCTTCCTGAGAATTAAATGCTTGTTTCTCTTTTCTTCTGGTTACTTACATGCACTATCCCACAAAAAAAAAGGTCATAAAACATCAGCATAACATGAGCTACAGTAAAAAAGGGCTGGTTTGATTTTGTGCATAGCAGTTATCTGATGTGACCAGGAAGGGACACCATTGCCATCTGGTATTATTTTAAATTGCAGTATTATTACTAAGTGGGAGTGAAGTTTCTCTGAAACACAAGGTCTGCCTCAGGAAAGCCACACCTAAATCTTATTTAGCTGCAAATGAAATTAGTTTGATTGGCCTCAGGCTAGTTCATAATTCTTCATGGATCCATTGGGAAAACATCCTATGGTAAGCAGACATCTCCATTCAGATAGAAAAGATCCATTTTCCATACCCCAGTCTACTCACCTGCTAGAATAAAAACACAATTTTCTTTAGTTTTGTGCACCACAATAGATTGTCTTAGCTCAAATTAATAGGACAATCTTTTCTTTCTATAACAGGCGGCAAAGGCAAATTAATCTTTTTGAAATCTTGAACCTCAGTGGATTCAAACGAAGTAATTCCAAGAGAGCAGGAGTGGCAGCCTCAAGCAGGCGTCTCAAAGTAGTCAAAGCTGGGTAAGTGCAGCTTTGTCTCTGGTAGTTACAGCATCCCTCTGGTCAGGGTGCTCAGAGTGAAACACGGCCTGCACTTGATGGGAATGCATGTCTTTGGCCATTACTAACAGGATGTGGTGCTTTTACGTATAAACATATTCACATCACAAAAGTGACCTCTCACAGAATCACAGAATGTTAGGGATTGG